GTACTGCTCTGCACTCGAATGTTCTTCCATTAGAGTTGGAGGCTAAAAGTTTTGCTGTTCCTAAAAGAACGCAACTGGTATGACCATGATTGATGGATGACATTAGAGTTGTTTGTGCAAGTGGCCTTGAAGTGTTTTCAACTGACGTATGATTTGATGGTTGAACTGGGTGTCTATTTTGATGCAACAGTGTATTATGTCTTCTTTGGCATATAGTACAACCCCTGCTGGAGCATTGTAATGCCATATGACCAGGTTTCATGCAGTTTGTGCACAATTTATGACGTTTTAGTAAATCGTACTTCTGTTGTATGGATTTACGTTTGAAAGTTTCGCATGAAAATAATTGATGACTACTATTGCAAGTAATACATTTTGATCCTGAGTCTGTAGCTGCAAGTGCTACTGCTGGATGTCGTGGTTTGTGACTTTGTTTGTGGTTTCCATTCGTCATTGATTCGAATGCCTGAAATCTTCCTTCTAGGAACCGCAATAATTCTTTTAATGAAATTATTCTTCGGCTGTCTTCTAACGATTGCTCGAATGCCGTATGTGAAGCTTTGTCTAGCTTTCTAATAATTACGTGAACCATTATGGCGTCCCAAGATTTAACATCAATACCTTGAGCTGCTAATCCATAATAACATTCTTTTGTAACATCATGTATGCCCTTAAGACTGCTTGCTGATTCAATTGTTATATTTGGTTGTGATAACAATTTATTTAGTAATGCTGTCACCAAGAGTCGTTTGTTGTCATACCGATTTGACAGAATATCCCAAGCTATATTATAATTTTGCTCGGAAATTGACAGATGCCGTATGAGGGCTTTTGGCTCACCTGCCAAGTTTGTAGATAAATGGAACATTTTGTGGGCTGCGCTTATTGATTGATCATGGATCAATTGTTGAAACAAATCTCTAAATTCAATCCATTTCAAATAGTCTCCATCAAATGTTGGTAAAACTATTTTTGGAAGTCTGATTTGTTGAGTTGCTGCAGGCCCCTCTGACGTCAATCCTTCAGTTGGTTGACTGTGTTGTTTTAAATATATTAACACGTTTTGGGCATCTTTATCCGTTGAATAATATTGATCCCAAGTATATCCGACGATGTCTTGTGCGTCGACTGATGACCATATTTCATCATTGTTATCCCTCAGATCCTTCTGATATTTTTCTATTAGAGAATATTTCAGATCATAATAACTAGGATGATGTTTTATGGTTATTTCTTCATATATTTCATCTATGCTCGTGCGTAGTGCATGCATTAATGAGGATTGCTTCTGCATGGTTCGCATGAGCGATGTAGTATTATTTGGCCCTCTTGGGCTTACTACTGGCTTCTCGTCCTGTGGTTTCAGGAGTAGCCTTGATTTCTCCAGCTTGAATCTTTCATCATATGTGACTACTAGATTGGAGATTTTTTTGAAATAGTCTGCACTGAAATACTCATTTTGAAGTTCAGATTGTGGCAGTACTTTGATTTCAGCATCATTAGATTCGAAATTATCCCACAACGTGTTTAGTTTATTTAGCCGATCTTCATAATATGTGGTATCCTGCTTGCGGGTACTAGAATCCTTTTTGAAATTGGTTATCAGTCGCTCAATTTCTGTACCGAGCTCTGACTGCTTCTTTAATAACGCATCCATGGCGATGTTTGAATTTTCGGTCCGAAAATTCCAATGAATAAATACTTCAGCTGGTTACTGAGTAGACCTTTTGGTGTGTCCTTTTGTAGGTAATTGACTCCTTTGATATGTATTTCAACAAAATGAAAGCTGATATTTCATCAACAATCACGTCGGGGTCACCAAAAAATGTACGCTACTTGGTGCTAACCCAGATCCTTAATCTGTGTTAGCTTGGTAGCCAATTTTTTATGTGTAATGTAGTTTGAGCACTTGTAACCCAAACTACTTGTATTTTCTATTTTGATTAGTTTGAGCACTTGAAACCCAAACTAACCGATGCGAGAAAGTAAGAAAGTTATAATTGATTTTTCTTTTCCTTCTGAACTTTATTAAAATTATTTCTTATATTTATACAAAATTATTTAATTAACAAGCTATTAAATTATGCATTAATTGACAATAAATATTAATGCATAATTCACAAATAAATAAATTTGCCTACGCTGTGCTGACATAATTATAGGCCATTGACCAACAAGAAAAGCTGATAATGCAAAATTGCACTTTTCGTTGGTCAATGACTGGTCGCAGTGTTGGCCCAAATAATATGTAAACACATGTAACCAAATATCATAAAAAATAAAAATATAAAATAATATGAATTAAATGCAAACATAAACAGATACAATTGTATCAAAACAAGTTACCGTTGGTTATTTCTGCAAAACAATATCCCGTAATGGATATTTGTTAAAGAGTTAAAATGATTGTAAAATTAGTTTTTAGTTTAGTTTTTAATACGCTGCGTAAGCGACTAGAATTA